CATCATATATTGTAACAAAGAAAATAGTTCGGCGGAAAGGCCTAAAGCATATGCTAAAGATGTGATGATGCCTCCAAAAACAAAGGGATTAGTACCTGCTGCGTTCACGCATGTGTGGATGTGACTGAGCATGAAAGGAGCGACGTTGACAGCCTGACCATTAAGGGCACAGAAAATGATGAACAGCTCATTTTGGTTGACCTTGTGATTATTGGTCCGACCAAAGATGGTGTTAGCAAGAACGCGGTGAAAGTACCTTAATGCAGGGTTATGTATTTGAGAAGCATATAGGTCGCGCCAACTTTCTGTGGTTTGACCGGTTAGATCATTCCATAAGGAGAAGCCGACTTGATCCCAAGAAAGATCGTGGTCATCGTCGAAAGGCTTGTAATGAACATGCTCGCCGCGAGTGAAAGATAAGAGTTCAGCGACTCTTTCTTGATCAAGAGAGTACTCTTGGTTAAACATGCGGAAGTTGGCGGTTCCGGTTGTGTAGGGATCGTCGACAGGTGTTGTGTAAGAGAAGGAACTAAGAAATTCAAGCACGAGTGGTTCATAGGTTGGACATGAGTTCGTGCAGAGACTGGTTAAACCGGTGTTATTGAGCATGAATACGATGCTATCGGTCATTCCTAAGGTTTCCAAACACTCCGAACTTACGTATTTTGTAGGAACGACGGAACGGGTATAGAATTTTTTATACTTTTGTTGTTGTTGGCCGTCGTCGTTATCGCGGAAAATGATATTGGATAGGTCGGGTGGTGGTCGGTCGGGCTTAACTTGTCTTTGGTTGTTTCGTGGAGCCATAGATGGATATGGGTTGAAGAAGGGAAAAGGTAGAAAATATGGGTGTAGGAGAGGAAATGGTAGAGATGGTTAGAAATGTTGTGAAATGAGAATGAAGGATGAAGGGTATTTATAGTGGAGTGAGAGTTAAGAGTGATAAATTATAATAAGTGGGTGTTGGAAAATGGGAGGGAAAATATGAATGGGGATTAATGGTGGGAAGTGGAAAGAATATAATTTGAATGAAAATAAAGAGTGTTGAATTTGAATTAATTGGGGCTGAATGGGAAAACGAAACGGACAAGACAAGTAAATGCAAGGGAAGACCAACTTTTACTCTGCACAGAAGACCACGCGTGAGGCGTGCGTCTCAAAGCTGCATGGCGTGGGAACAGTCGGAGACGTGCGTCTCCAGTCAGCGTGTTGGGCTGAGGCGTGCGTCTCACTTTATTGGGAACAAGCCAGCGTGTGAATGACAAGGGACAGTATGCAAAGAATAAAAAGGAATCTCACTTGCAAGGTAGAATGATACGGATAACGAAGGAGCCAGAAAAAGGAATATATTTAAAAATTGTAGTAACAAATAAGAATGCAATAATACTAATATTCTTATAAGATAATATTTTTATATGATATAATATATTAAGCTGCAACATTATAATTATAAGAAAATAACATGAATTGCTTTTAGAATGAGGATCAAAGTTGCTTACAATTTAAGAATCAAGTATTTAGAAAGTAAAACATAATAATAAAAAGAACATAACGAAAATATTGCAATTTCTAATAAAATCAAACTAAGCTAAACTAAATAAAATGAACTACTTAAAAGCTCTAGCCACTAGATGGTCCTGCCTTAGAAGCGGAGGAAGAATGAAAGTAAGCGAAAACTTCTTGAAATTGCGCAGAAACAATATCTATAAAACCAAAGAAATCGGCTCGCAAACTAGTTAAATCGTCCCTCAAAGCCTGATGTTCCACCTGGAGAGCGTGGATGGCAGTCGCATAATCAATGGTAGGAGCCTCATGCATAACGGTGTCAGGAGCAACAGAGTGAGCGGTAGAATCGTGCTGAGGAGGGCCCATATCATAATAACCTGGAGGAGCAGTGGGATCTTCCTCTGAATCTTCCAAAACCTCATAATCTTGCGGAGTCTCAGGAGTGCTGGACGGAGAAGGCTGCTGATCAAGACCAAAAAACCAGTTGGCTTTGTTATGCACACTCGTAGCAGGGTTAGGCAAGGTAAACAGCTGCATAACTTGACCATTAATCAACAAGGTAAACTGAGTCGGGCCAAGATCACCAATTATACCAGTGTTGAAACAGAATTCGATGGTCATGCAAGTAACACCAGTAAAAGCATTCAGATGCTTAAAGGGTTGTCGAGGTCCAACAACATTTGCAATCATAGTGACGAGACCGCATCCGAATCTTTGCAAGCTCGCATAGCAGACGCACTTCATCTTAATGATTCTGATTCTGACGTACAACGAAGACCTCGTACTAGAGGACGAAGAACAAGAGATCATGATTCTCAAAGCAACGAGTGATCGCCTTTCTCTTTTCATCTGATTCTCCTTTGTTTTTATCGCATTGAGGACATTGCTCCTTTTTAGTATAGGGGAGTCAGATCATTTCCTTGTTCATTTCTATTTCCTTTGCTCTCTTTGTAGTATTTTTCCTTTTATTTCTCTTCTTGTATTGCAAAATTTCAATTCAATAAAATACTTATTTATGCAAATTTTAATCTCTTATGCAAAAATTTGTGCTTACTCGAATTCCCCCTATTTCTTGAGCCATAACGAATAAAATAAAACAATTTTAACACGCATTTATAAACATTATTCAACTAGTATTAAGGTTGTCTATTATAAATAAGAATTCGAGCAACTTAGCAAAATTGCTATCGTCTTAACACTTCAAAACCCCCGATGTGTTGGATCGATTTAAGTACTTATTATACCAAAACCTTTAAAACTTAGTTTTAGATTAGCCCCGAGTAGTTTATTAAGCAGTCGGCACCGCCATAAACACAAACTACGTGGAGAGCTGATGAATATAAGTGATTGATCAAATATTCTTAAGAAATTGCTTTTATCTGAAGATGCACTTATTAAGTTAGATGGTCCTTACCAGATCATTTAATCCAACAGTTGCAGAAACTATAAAATTTAAATGCAAAATAATCCATTATAAATTGGTTCAGTGGTCCCTGGTGCTGAACTTGGTAGGGCGAATTACGGTTCGATCCCCGCAATTTTTAATTGGAAAAAGGGAGTACCATATGATTAAATTACCAGAACTCCTAGCTGGCTTACTAAGATCAAATTCACTAACCAGTTACTCCACTATGTGCGTGTAAGGTAAAGGGCTTAATGTGATTGCACTAGAATGAAAACGGGTGAAATAAAACGTAGTATTAGGTTAAGCTATAATGACATGACTTAAATTGGTCTGCTTAAATGGGGTTGTCCAGTGTTCCTACGGTAACTTTGGTGTTTAAGTTCGACTTAAATTCTCTAACGAAAAATTCAACTTGCAACCTGGTACGAAGTGATGTATGTTCTTATATCTGTGTTTAACTGTGCGTCAGGACAAGCAACGGTTCAAGTATAGGGGAGTTTGATAACACAATTTTATATAGTATATTTGATTTAATTTTCATAAATAATGTTAGTATTTTTATTTAATTATTTCATTTTATTTCCATATTACGCCGGTATTTTTATTGTTTCAGGTATTTTATTTTAATTAGACAAATTGAGCAAAGTGAAGAAATTAAGAGAGTTATTGGGCTAAATATGCAAGAAATGAAGAAAAGGGGTGTGCAAAGCAAAAATGATGGATCAAAAGGTTTATTATCTCCAAACTGGGCCCAAACAAAATCAGGCCCACGCAAGCAAGAGAGCCCTAGCAAGAGAGCCCTAAAGGCACGTGCAAGAGTGAGACGCACGTCTCAACTCCTCTCCTACAATTGAGGCGCCCGCCTCGGACCCTCCCCTTAGTGGGAGGCGTCCGTCTCAACGTGGTCAAGTGGATGAGTAAATCTCGGGACGACCACCTCCACTCAAAGCAGTTAGAACGAGAAATTTGGGGAAAAGTGGTACGAAAATATCTCAAAACGTGGTTACATTCTACCATTATAAAAGGACATCAGGAAATCAAAAAGGGGGCCGTTTTTTAGCATTATTTTCCAGTTTCAGAATTTACCTTCCCGCATTATTATTTTCCATTGTAATTCAGTTTCCAACAGTTATTTTCCAGCCAGTTCCTTTTCAAATACTTAAATTTTATTTCTGTTGAAGAACCGGGATTTTGTACGAATTGATTCAAGCTTCAAGAATTATTTCCAACATTTATTTAATTCAGGTTTCTTATTTACATCGCTTTAATTTATTTAATTAATTATTTGCATGAGAGATATTTATTTAGCCATGAATTTATTTACGAATGTTAATTCCTTTAATGTATTCATGTCTGCTTTTATGAGTATGTCTAGCTAAATTATTTAAATATCGGTATGTAACGAGTTAATTTGAATGGATCCGGAACAAACAGGCTTGATTATATTTTATAAAATAAACACTTTTTCTGATTTAGTTATCTAATTTATTTTGTTAAAAAAGGTTTAGAAACCAACAGAGCGAAAGTTTGAGGCTAATAAACTGACTAAGATTAGAAACCAATAGAGCTACAGTTTGAAGTTTAAAATCAGATAGTAGATACTAGGTATTGTTTTTAAAGACTGCGACAGCGTTTTAAAACCAATTAAACTTTATTTATTTTCAAAAAGTAATTTTAAAATCAATGGGATAGCGAAAGCATACATCAGAGTTTAAAATTATAATTTACTTCAATAGAGCGAAAGTTTGAGAATAGATTTTTGAATAAATACTTTTTGCTGAAAAAAATATTATTATCATTTTTAGAAAATAAGTCAGTGGAAAGCCGGATTCTTTAGTGTTAACGAAGTATATACCGATATTCGCATTATTATTATTTCAATTAGAATTAAGTTTTATTACCCAAAAATTCTCCTAATTAATTATTCGATGGCTATAGCTTTACACAGTAGTTTAGGTTACGTTAGTTCGATTTATAGTCCCTTAGGTTCGATATCTTTTAAAACTACGCGATAGGGCTGTATACTTGCAGTCTCCCGATTAATTTAGACGATAAAGTCGCGATCAATATGAATGGAATGCTCATTTACCTTATTATCTTCTATGCGACCACTAGCCAAAGCATCTGTCACATATGCTCTGTAAAGGAGTTTCAAGTCCCCTATCCTTCTATCACCTTCGTATTGACCACCTATGCCAATCAAATATGAACTACAGTCAACTTAGAATTTATATTCAAAAGACTAGAAGTTTAATGTAACAATGAGGTAAAATGAAATCAGTCTAGAAGCTTACCATGCAAAGAAACTGGACCAACACCTCGGGCAAAGCGATCCACATCCGCATGATTCTTTAATGAGGTGAGTAAATTATTAAATGCCAATATCTTATCAAGCTCCTCTACCACTCGGGTAACTCCAGGACTGAGAAATTTTAAATTGATTAGAAGCAGCGTATTCTACATTTGCAAATTGCTCATATTAACGAGAAATAAGAAGAATTTTTTTAAAAAAACTAAGAAACAAAACGCTAACAAATAACAATAGCATAGATAGAATTTGATATTTCATATGGAGTTATTTATGAAAACCTAAAATGATAAAATTCCTCAATAAAAAAAAATCTAATCCATAAAAATCAAACGTAGGGTGCTAAGGAACTTGAGTATAAGTACATGTTTTTTCCAAAACTAGAAAACTTACACAACTCTTGTGCGGGATTTAAGTATACCAAGTGCTACTGAAATATTTTCAGCAATCAATTTCATTGTATGCTCCTTGAACAAGCTTTCAGCAAGCTTCAAAGAAAATTTTAATTTTAGTCAATAAATAGTTTTTATTACCCACCAAGGAACTTTGAAAGTCAAAGAAAGGTTTATCCAAGATAAAAGAAGCAATTGAAAGTTCTATTTATAAAACAATAAGTAAAGAAAATGCACCTGATCGGATAGCCGATACAAACGTTGAGCTTCTCTAAGTGTAACAAGGTTTTCTCCATCAATATCTGATAAGAAATATTTGGTTAGAACTAAAGAGCACAATACTGGATCCCTAATTCTAAAATTTTGCGACATTTTTTTTTCAATATCGATTAATATAGAAAATTACATAATTCATAATTGGATATGCTCTTACAATCTAACAAGAGTGCTGCACTTGTTTTAAATATAAAAGCGACAAACAAAATATAAAATTATGGCATTGACACAGCTTGAGAATTAATGAATTAATTGATAAATTAGTTTATTGATCCCTTCATTACAATGAGATCCAGTTTTTTTATAAATAAGTAAATAAGATCAACAAGTCAAGATGTGTTACAGAATTACCTCTGCCAACGGATTTCAGCTTGGATGCATACAATCGCTGCGCATTGTCGCGTATAGCTACTTCAACCTAAAAAGAAATATATTATTACCACCTAGTCATACAAAAAAATGAACAAATGGACTAGAATAACCAAATGATAAAAGAACAGAATAAAATTACAAGACATAAGATGAGACCTTATCCATGTCATTGTTGACACATACAAGGAAACGTGCATGGCTGTACAGTGCTTGTTTTTGGGAAAAACACCCATATGCATGATAATACAATAATTCACTCTAATTGTACGATACAAATACAACAATCACAATACACATTCAACAAGTACCAACTGAGAAAAATCTAATTAAAAACCTGCGATTCGGTGAACTGGAAAATACGCTTCCAAGGTAGAAGGAATGATGATGCTTCCCCAAAAACAAGATATGACACAAAAATCAACTTCTGAAATGCCTGCATTGGAGATTCACTATAATGGTCATGTTCCAACTTTTCATCCAAAGCCACAGAGCTACTTATGTATACCACTTCGGATAATAGTACACGTTACTTACCCTGCGTTGCTCAATATCCGCTTCACGGTCTCCAACTTCAAGCCTTAGCCTGAAAATTTTCCTACCAACCTAGGCATCAACAAGAATAAACGAGTAAGATAACTAACAACTTCCATCAATGATAACAAACATATTCAATCACTACAACCATACACACAAGTAACACCAAACACAGATACCTCTATATGAATATCAGCTGCATCAGGATCATCAATTCCTAAGGAATTCTTAAAGCTGATAATCCTATCAGCCTCATCACCTTTAAGCTCCTCACCACCAGGAGGAAGCACAGACGACACAAACCTGAATAAAAAGTCGAAATGAAAAATTAATGATTCCAAGCCAAAGTAAAGGCAAACAGAAAACTGAATAAAAACTTGATTTGTCACTCACTGTCTATATATATCACAAATCTCTGCTTTAAATACTTCATCCTGCTTTTTCACGCCATACCTAAAATTAAAATTTTCAAAAAGAAAAAATAGATATTAGATATTGAATCAATAAAAATTAATTAATCTGATCATCACCACCATCAGCACCATCATCGGGGTTTTAAAAAACAGTTCGTGACCGCGAAAACGGAAAAATGGTATTGGCAAATGATGATACTTATACTGTTATCACTTATGGTTATTTCAATCAGTGTCGCGACACTTGTACAGATTAAAATAAAGCCTTATGACTGATTGGAACACGGCCGCAACCGTTTTTTAAAACCTTGATCATCATGATCATCAATTTTAATAAACTATGTCTGTCATTTGATAAACTCTCACTAATCAGAAATTCGTAATTAATGTCAATAGATAAAGATAACAAACTCAACGCAAATAAAAAAAAATATAACAGCAATTCAAATGAACCTATTGGCGATTCCAACAATGTCTTCATTCTTCAACAAGGAAGGATGATCAAGTCCAACAACATGATTATGCAAATTCACAGCAGCAACTTGAGGAGCAACCGCGTTCAACGCGTACGCAGCAGCACCACCAGCAACGCCCAAAGCAACGGCACCTCCAACGGCAGCATTTCGACTTCCACCGAACTTGGAACCGAGACTGAACCCAGCGGCTACAGCGCCAGCAATAACAACAGCAGATGTAGCGAGGCGGAGTGGCGGAGATAGCTTGTCTACAACGTTTTCGATTCCGGTGAGGTCTTTGGAGACCGGCGAAGGAACGGAAGATGAAGAAGAAGAACGATGGAATGAGACTTTGAAACGGCGTCGTTTGGAGGATGAAGAGAGTGAGAAGGGTAATGGAATGAGAGAAGAATGGGAAGAAGGTTTGAGAGTTGATGAAGGGTTCATTGTTTTGGTTGTGTAGGAATGATTTGCGAAATGTTGTAAGAGTCGGTTGTATACAGTTACTGTGGTTCATAGGGTTTAACGAAGAAATAAGCGGAGAAATTTGGTATGGGCCTGTTGATTGAATGGGCTTTTTAACTTTTACTAACCGTTTTATGATTGTTAACTAATTTTTTAAAATTGGGTGCCCTACCTTGTTCCTCCCTAGTCAAATTGAAATTTACAAAACTATTATCTTACTCTAAAAAAGATGGGTATTCTATCTTATGCCTTCCTCATTCATTTTAGATAAATTTCGAAAACATCTGGATTGGTCAAAGGTCTAGATGGTTAAGGTGTAAACCAACTCAGATTTACTAACGCAAAGTACACTTTGTAATATTCATTTTCACTATACTCATTTAGAATCTTGAACTAACTTGGGTGTTGGAGTGTTAATCTTGCAGGTCTATTTTTGTGACACTAATTTCGAATTTTGAACTAATAAATGACATACATTCTAGTTCCAGAACGAAACAGTGGTCTGTTGATGCCTCGAAATTCCACAAAGAGATCATTCTCGATCTCAAATTGTATCTCTATCGGAAGCAGTAACTCCGCTAGTCATAAACAATAGATTTTTTTCATCATTCAATTTAGTTCTCCATCAATTATCATTGATCGATTATAGTTAGGATTTCTAGATCACAAAAAGATCAATGGAATTTCAAACTTTTGATCTACCTCTGAATCTAGCAATCGCAATCGCTGATTGAAACCTGGAAAGATTCCTTGTGGATGACATAAGCTCTTGCAACATACTCTACGCTGACATGTTGGAACTATTAAGCCTCTAGTAGGTAAATTTGAATCCATATAACGAAAGAGATTTTTTAGCCTTCAATGATTCTATAAATCGCCCTAGTACAATGACATATTTGATGTTAGCAATTGCATAATGACTACATGGGAGAAAGGTAGTCCTAAATTTCCTTGTAATTCCTCATACATGTACCTTCAAAGATATCTTGGGAAGATCCTTCATAGCGAAGCTAGATGCCGTAGAACCTCTAGTCCACCTAAAACTAGCCTATCATGATATAGAAGGAATGGCGACCACTGTTAATACTGACCTGTAGGAGGAGAAGCGAATCAAAGAGCTCATCCATAAGGAAATTATCACATTGGCGACAAGAGCAGAAGAAGATTCGGGGAATGCCAATATGTTCAACCTTGATGCATGTGAGGATGAATTTAGGCTAATTTTAGATGGTGAATTTGAGTTTATTCAGCTTGGCGATAACCCTTCTCAATCGGTAAAGATAAGATATAAGCTTCCTCTAGAAGGGATATACACCTTAATTGAATGCCTCCAGGCTAACACAAATATTTTCTCTATCTCTCCACACGAGATGTATGACATTAACCCCAGTGGGGCATGCCATCAATTGAATGTGGACTCCTGGGGTCGCTACGTCTCCTAGCGACAAATGAGGTAGTCCCTAGAGAAGGCCAAAGCCACCGTGAGAACAGTGAAAGGCCTATTGGACGCTCGATTCATTTCTGAGGAAAAGTATATAGAATAGTTTCCTAACGTCGTCCTAGTGAAGCAGGCCTTGGGGAAATGGAGAATGTGACTTCACACACAAGAGGGGGTGAATTGTGTGTTTCAGAAAAACTTGATTTTGAAAAAAAAATTATAATTAATTCTGGAGTGTAAAAAAAATTATAACAGGTTTTAGAAATAAGCTAAAAATATTTAAATTGCAAAAATTAAAAGTTAACGGAAGAGAGAAGACACTGGGAATTATACAGGTGTCCCCATGATTTGATCTTGAGAGTATCTAATAAAACTTAAGAGCTTTTTGTAGGTTAAACTGTCGAACCCCCTTATACAAGGAAAAAGAATTTTGTGGCTAACTTCCAACCAAACAGCAAACATGGAGAGAAGTTGTGAGTCTTCCTTATAAACGATGGATCAAAGCGGTTAGTCTCCTTTCCATAAGAAACTTTGAGTAGTTAGTCTTCGAGCTTCAAACCAAGATTTTACACAAGTTGATCTTGAACATGGGTAAGCTTTTAATATTAGAATGAACTCCAACCTTAGCAAGGATGAGCTTGAGCTAAAAAAAGGTTCTACACATGAAAACCACCAACCAAGATGAAATTTTAATCACAGACTAATCTCGAACTGGATGGAGATTTTTAAACAGGCTAAGCCTTCGAATCAAACTGACGACTTAATAACTAAATCCCCAAAACTAATATTTTAACATGTTTAGCATCGAACCTAAATAAATAATCTCTAAATTGATGAAATATTCAACCAAGGAAAAAACAAAATCACTTGGAGAATTTACAATTCTATCCTTCTAAAAATACAACAGTCTCACTTGCCAACAACTTTCGCGAAAATGCTACGACTAAATTTTAGTGAGAAAAATTAAAGAAAATATTTTAGAAAGAGAGTGAGGAGTGAGGAATGAAAGTTTGTGTTTATGGATATGAAAATATGTGGGAAGGGACCTCTATTTATAGGTTAGAGGTCGATATCAAAATGGAAATTTTTGTGGCCAAAATTGATGAGCAAATTTATTGGCTCATGAGCCAATTGATTAGTTGGCCTAAAAATAATCATTTGGTTTGTTTTAAAAGGCAAGAAGAGATCCATAGCCACTACCAGTCATTAAGATGTTGTCCTAAACATTTAGGGCGCATTTTTGCACTGACCCAATCGATTGACAGGAACCAAAATTTTCCTATAACTTTTCTAATAATTCCCAAATCATTTGGCATGACTTCAAGACATTTTAGAAATATTTTTTGATAAAAACATGTTTAAAAGGTTGTTATAATGTGTATGATAAGCCTTATATGTGTGTGTGTGTGTGTGTGTGTGTGTGTGTGTGTGTGTGTGTGTGTGTGTGTGTGTGTGTGTGTGTGTGTTGTAACACCCCAATTTTTAGAAGTTATTTATTTAATGAATTATTATGAGCATTTATGAATAATTGATGTTTTATATGATTATATGTGTGATGTGATGTTATGAGGTTGTGCATGATGTGAATTATGATAATTAGAAGTATTAGAATGGTTAAATAATTATTTAGTAATTATTTGGATTATTATTGAGAATATAATAATAGGAATAATTATTTAAATGGTTATTTTAATTAGAGTGGTGTGTTGGTAATTAGTAGGAAGAGTAAGAACGACATGGTAAATATAGGTTGACTAAGCGAGAGCAATTGAGGAACATATTAGGGGTCCTTTGTGATAACAGAGAAGAGATAGTTGTTATTCTCACAATCAATCGTGAAAGTTGGAGAAGAGAGGCTAGGGCACGAAGGCTTTGGAGAGAATCATCATAAGAGGCATGAAGAACGTAATCAATCACTTGAAGCAATAAAGTAAGGGGTGTTTATATGATTATTATATTTGATTTCAGTGGTAGATAGAGGTAGGGTTTGCCTTAGGTTTCATAGATGGTGATTCGATGTTGTTTGATGGAGAATTTATAGATTAGAGATGAATAATGATGCCCAAATGATGTATAATTGATGTAGAAACATAGGATGATAATAGATGATGATTATCTATGATTAGATGATGTTTTAGGACCTATAAGGTAGTGAAATCGCAGAAAAATTCAGCATAAAACAACATGCGTCGACTCAAAGAGGTCATGCATCGACTCATGTAGGTTCAAGACTCAGTATGCGTCGACTCATTGGGTCGACCTGAGCACACCCGGGGCAGACAGAACACCCATGCGTCGACTCAAAGGGGGCATGCGTCGACTCAAGCAATCCAATTTTTTACAGATTTTTCTAAAGGTCGTAACTTGAGTTTCCGGACTCCGTTTGAGGTGTCGTTCAAAGCATTGGATAGCTAACGTGATGAACTATATTTATAAGGAATAAAATTAAGAATAAGAAGGATAATTCTAGTACCCAAGTTAGGATAGAATTAGTTTCCCCGTGTTAAATCGCTATGATGTTTTGTGGTAATGAAGTATGATGATGATATGACGATCTTATGATAATGCTTGGTTCATAATGATGATATGTTGTTAATATGATGATTCTGTTTTATATGATGATATGATGATGATGCTTTGCTTATATGAGTGCATATGATGAGGTTTATATGATGATGTTGGTGAATACATGAATGATGATGCGTATGACTAGTTGTGGTCGTTTATATTGTTGTTGTGCATCATGCATTCATTGGACAACTTTGGTCCATTTTGATGATTTAGGACGTTGTTCTAGTGATTTGGTATCAATCCCATTGTATGGATTTGGGATGTCTATAATTTGCTCCGGTTCCAAGTGGGAATCGATCTTATGATTGGGGTCTTTTGAGGGTGATGGCCTAGTGTCCATCAAATGAATTGGTACCACATGCATAAGTCTATGTCCTTGCACTACATCTTATGTGGCATTGCATTGTTCTTAAATTGATGATGTTGTATTGTACTTGTATGATTGTATTGATGACGCCCTTTATGTTGTGATACTTTTGGTTTATTCTGCTATGTCTATTACTTATATCTTATATAATGATTGTGATGAACTCACCCTTTGTGCTTGAATGTTGCCTCTATGTGGGTAACGTGTAGGTAATTAGGAGTAGTCCCTAAAGGCTTAGAAGAATATCTTGGAGCATGTGTTTTATTTCTGTTGAGTCTAGTAGGTCTTTCTCTAATATGTAACACCGGGGATGGGAATACTTTGTTTTGAAAACTATTTTATTCTTGTTTTGTTATGACATTTAAATTGTTTACATGGAGTTTAAATCATGTTGAATTGTGAACCATGAATCATGGGGAACTATGAAGTGTTTTAATGAACTTGTTTGAACTATGATTCCGCTGCAAGTATGTGAAACCTTGATAATTGATATGTACATGAATAATTTTGAAAACCCGTGTTACGGAGTAAGACTAGCACGTATGATTATTTCACGAATAAAATGTGATGCCCTTTTGTTGTATTACTCTGATATTATTTTAAATA